CCCCTCGCGCCCGCTCTTCCTTGAGTGCGTTATGATATATTCAACCCACCACCAGCTATCTACTTCGAGGCCCTTCACCGACTTCCCTACTTCTTTTTCAGATCAGGCCCGTCACTATATTCGGGGACAATGCGGAGTGGGGACTTCGCTTGGCTTCGCATTCTATAAGCCAAGACGCTATCGTCTTTTTATCTTATATATAAGATTCAGTGGACACAGACACCAGCGACAGTCTTTCGCAGAAAATATTTGCTCTGATTCTAGTTTTTTCCTCCCTTCGTCATTATCGACCCAGCAGTAACGCGCGCAGTGGATTCCAGAGAGACCCGAAAAAGTCACGACGGAGTCACCCAGGCATCTAAGCACGAGACTATTGACTCATACTCTTGTAGCGACAGGGGATGTGGGATCCACTCCGCCTCCTCTTTTTTTACTCCCTTTCTTAGGCAGATCCAGCTCCATCCCCGTCGGTTTCCGACTTCTGCACCTCCGCATTCCACTTGAAGCTCGGCCATTGGCTTAAACGCATTGTAGTCGACGATGGCGGTGGTTGTGCAGACTTATCAGGCGTGATACGGTCAGAGACTCTCTTCCAAGACTCGCTTTCATATCCATGAGAGTTACCATCTCCTTTTTTATCAGCGAGGATCAGATGCTCATTCACATTCTTATCCTGTTGATCGTCATTCATCTGCAACCAACCTCCTAACTCATCTAAAAGGTCTGCGTCCGTTGGAGAAAGTGGCTGACCGTGCGTCTCGGGGCCTAAGACTTCCCTGATCCACGTGCCGTCCGCCAATTTCGTTGCAGCTTCGTCTACAATGCGACTGTTGAGATCGCCCGCGAGGATGAGGGGAACAGTTTGGGCTTGTCCTTTCGTAAATTCCTTATAGACTTTTTTGAAGGCCTCGGTGCGTTTTTCCGTCCCCTCGGCTGAAAAATGCGCCCCAACGAAGCGCAGAATGTGAATGTCCTTTTTATCCTTGTCGCGGTCTTAGAGCTCACACCATGAATCAATGTACTTACTCAATTTTTCCCACTAGAGAGACCTCTGGAGGAAATGTGAGGTGCTCGCGGGATCAGACAAGTGCTCGCGGGTTGTCTTTGATTTGGAGGAAATAATGATGAGAGGACTAGATTGTAGTTCGTTAAGTTGACTAACCCCTGTACTAGACCTTTTAATCTTAAACGATGACGAATTTGTGGCGGTGAAAGATAGGAGGGGGTTTGGAGGACCTGTCATGTTGATTGGTAAACCGATGAAGTAGATTACTGTAAGCCTTAATCTCCGTGTCCTCTGATCTCGAGTCCTACGGCATGCTTTGTGAAGGACTTACCAATACCGCTGTCAGTAAGCACCACCTTCTTGAGGTCATGCGCAACGTACGGCGAGACCTTGTCGTTGCCGTGCCCGTCTTGCACGGTCTTCACCCCAAACGCATAAACACTGAGAGGGCCTGGCCGTTTTGTGAGCCACTGGCGCGAATGCACCTGACCAATAAGCATGTGTCCGTCCAACCACTTCACCAGGATATTGCGATTCTCCGTTCGTTTCTCGTCGACGCCAGAAACGATAGCCTGGACGGATGCAGTGGCACTGCCGCAATTATGCTTAGAGCTACATTTTACAACAAATCACTATCTTGATTTCATCTACTCTCATCAAATCGAATCTTCTAGTACCTGTCTACTCTGACTGAAATGAATCCATGATCGTGGGGGAAAGAACTGAGAGTGAGACTCCTGACAGATCATTAGGATTATAGTTACAACTACTTACTTAGAAACTTACTCTTCTGTCTTCAAGAATGAATCTTCATCATCAGATTATAATTGCACCATACTTGCTGTTACCCTGTCTACTTCAAGAGTGAGTCCTTATTTAGTAAACTTCTTAGCCTTAACAAACACTTCCTGCAAAGTGACCAGGATCACATCGTATTTCACGACTTTCCCCCCAGCGACAGCCTTCGAAAACTCCGTCAGCCAATTCAGGTCCTGCTTGTCTAAATGCTTCCCAGCAAGGTTGTACGTGAGGACCAAAACCCGCAATGGATGTTTTTTACTAGCAGGCAGCTGCAGGCCCTGCTCAAGGGTAATGTCCGCAAAGGCAGGAAGGTGATCACGATTGTTCATCATGGGAAAACCAGCAAACACGCGTCCAGCTTGATGTACATCAAACCACCACGCGGGATTTTGTTGCGCCCCCGTCGACTCTGCTTGGTCTTTGTCTATCGGCTTCGACACAGCCCCACTGATGTACACCCGGTCTGTCACACTCACCTTGGGTACACCTTTCTTCGCAGCGAAATATTTGCCCAGTAAGGCCTTAGCACCCTTCTTGTCTGCCGGGACATCCGCGCCGTCGCCTTCTCCCGGTGCCGGCGCTTCTCGACGTCTTTCGAGGAAAGACTTCTTCATCGTGAAGAATTGCTTCTCTTCTTCACCACCAACTTCTTGTTTGCGCCACGATTGTTCAAGCCACGACTTTCCAGCTCCATCTTCATGTAGTTGTACCATGCCTCCACCATTGCTGTTCAGTTTGCTGTCATCTTCAGAGAAAGGTGTACTGATAATATGCTCTTCATCCGCAGCAGTACTCTCCTGACTCATCTGGTTTTCGTGGTCTCTCGCAGTTCGAAAAGTGGCGTTGCTGAATTGGACAAAGAACAACGTCGCCCACACCAAATACGAACGTCGTGGCCGTGGACCGTGCATCGTAGCAGAAGAAAAAGCCAAGCTTGTCAGATGAAGATGCTCTCTTCCTGCTCGCGTAGCAGTCGTAGTTGTATGTTCAGGAACGTCCAACATCTTGTTGTGTTCAGGAACGTCCAGCATCTTGATGATGTTGTATGTGCGTAGTTTATGACTAGGAGTACTTGCTGCGTTACTTATCCCAGTGGTAACGCTGGGTGTAGTTTACAAACACAAACGCGAAGTGTGAGTCTGAGTAAAAATAGTGATTTTTTTATACTCAAGAATCTTAAGAAGCGTCTTCTAGTTGATGTAGTACAATGACTGGTTTAATCAGATTTTAGGAGAAGAGAAAAGGAGTAGAAAACGATACTAGCGAAACACGAGTAAGACTGAGAAAGGGGAGAAAAAAGGGACAAGGCGGGTTGTAGGATCCAGAACATTTCCAAGTAGGATGAGTTTGGTAAAGAAAAGAGGATAGTCAAGGCAAGTACGAAGGTGAGAACACCACCCCCTTCTTGAGATCAATGAATTGTTCCACAGTCTTTTTATCAAAAAATCTACTCAATATAATCCACCAGCCAGGAACAGACCTTTGCACATCTCTCCACAGACTGCCTATTTTCTCATAGCATAGCTCTCGAAACAGATCCGACTTGTCCTCAAACAGAGTACTCATCGTTGCGGACTTTGAGGTTTTTTTTGACCTAATCAAAGTCCGTAAATACGGTTCAGCTGTGCTTGTCCATCAGGGTGAAGATCCTCATCTAGAAGATTAGAGATTTGAATAGGCCGAAACGGAATTCAAATCTCTAATTTCTTCTGTTTTCACTCAAGAGACAGAAGATCATATTATCTTGTGGCGCGCCACCTCTCGCGACAGATTATCTAGCTTCAACTTCACAAGCACTAATGCTCACCTTCTCTCACCGTCACGCTCTCAGACAGATCCTCTATGTAATCCCTTACAGAGTAAGAGTTTGCTATTGATGCGTCAGGTCCTTCTAATTCTCTATCACACATCAAAGTTTATAGTACTTAATTGCAAAGGCAGTCACAAAGCTTGTACTTAATTGCAAAGTTTGTACTTAATTTGCAAAGGTTGTACTGATGCAAAGGCAGTCACAACTTTCTCGCTCCAACAACGAAAAAATCTCAACAATTCTGAAGACGCGAGTTCAAAAATCCATCGAGGACGAAACAAGGAAACAATTTTCATTAATATAAATACTTACGACCGTGTTGAAGAAACGAACGGTAGAAGAAGAATCCAGAGTTCAGTATTATCTATGAAGAAAACAAAATCTCTTAAGGTGGAACGTGGAAGCACAATCATACTACGAAAACAAGAAGTCAAAAGTGAAGGCATCACCACCTGTACATCAATTACTGCTTTTCATCAACATCACAGTCATACTCATATTATTATAGAAGTGCAGAACACACTTTGAGTCATAGCCAGACTGTACAAACAACTAAAATAATTGGAATTGCAACAATGATTCTTCTAAGCTGAAACTCGCCTTACCTTCTTAGCAACAACTTCTCATACGCATGACCCTTTTGAGCGATGTCGTTGTAAAAGATATACGAAACTTCTTTTACTCAGAGCAGCTCCACTGACTGTGGATGCATTCGTAGACTTCTTAGACCTCCCTAGTATCACTTCGCCTTCTACTGCACTGAGGTCTACCGTATCTTCACCTCCTCCCGCTAGCAGTCGGTCTTCTCCAGACGTTGTACCAGCACGGCCAGCTTGCTCCTCGTGCTCCTGTTGCACTACTGATGTTGAAGGAGTGGTCGCAGACGTAGGCGCCGGACTCTGTTGTACTTTTAGATACTTTTCACCCAACTTTTCGTCATCTGAGAGCAAGCGTAATCTTCCCGTCTCCCTGTCAAACTGAAATCCCGCACAATGCGGGATCTTCACGCAAAGGTCTTGCAATACCAAGACATCTTCGGTTGTCAGTACATGTTCTTGTACTTCCTCGTGCTGTTGTGCTGGATGCGTTAGAGATAAGTACGGACAAATAGTTTGTTCTTACCCGTCAAACGGACTAGAAAGCTAGAAAGGGCTCACGTGTGAAATTCACATTCAGAATGGCCGAAAAAGCCCGAAGAAGCCCGTCTGACGATATAATTTTCGGGGTTTTTTCGGCCATCCTGCGAACAAGGCCTACTCACAGACGAGCTACCTTCTGACGACGTCAGAAGGCGTCAAATACCAGCAAAATGAACCTTAAATTGATGCTCGGGTCCCCTTGAAGATGCGTCGTCTCATTATCTTCTCTCACTCGTCCGCTACCTCCACTACTTAGCGCATCCCGTGTATTCGTCTGTGGCTGAAGGGGAGCAACATCGAAATAGTTTTGCTTTGGACAAGCGCGAACTGCTTCATGGTTCACCAAGTGCTCTCTTGAGAAGCCACAAGTTGCAGGATGGGCATTTCTTCTCCTGGAGGCACGCGTAGCCGCAACTCCGGTTCCTCCTCCACCTGCTCCACGTGCACCACGACCTGCCAAAGAGATCATATTCATTGGATCCCGAGTCAGTGTGCTCCGCCCTCTAGGATGAGTATCAACATGTTGAACATCAGTTATGAAAGGAAAAAGTGCACTCACACTCAAGAACAAGAAAGTAGCTACTCTTGAGTGCTGTGAGTGTAGGCAATCTCTTGAGTATGAGTAGGCAATCTCTTGTAGCTACTCTTGAGTAGGCAATCTCTTGAGTGTGAGTGCACTTTTTCCTTTCATATCAGTATCGGTAATAATATTTGCTCTTTGATTAGATCTGTCGTGATGAAGATGAGCGTCAACATGTGGATCATTTTCCCTAATCGCTGCAGTAGGCACGACTGCGGGCCTCTTCAATACTGGACAATGGAGCATCTTTTCCCTCCCTTCCGTGCCAGGTGCAAGGAAGGCCCTGCGCTTGCCGCTCTTGCCTTCAGGGAAAACTAGGCTGCGGACTGAATCCACGAGATCCATACATAGGGGCAGACAGGCTTCGCCCCCACTCCTAGTACCAGCGTAAGCCAGGGCTACACTTCCAACTTCCCGACTAGTCTGATGACGAGCGAGCTCCTTGCCCACGGTGGTTGCATCGCTGTCGAGGAGGAATTAGAAGCAGAAGGAAAAATCAAGAGGAGGAGGATGCGGAGGTTTTCTTCGTGCTTCAAGGCCAAGGTCAAGAAGCAGAAGATGACTGAAAGTCTTCTAAGTGCCAGCACTGAAAGTCTATATTGATTGATTTACCCAGTCGCAATCTATATTCGTGGTGGAGCCGACCTAACTAGATGAAAAACGAAAGACCAGAGGAAGATAGAAAAGAGAAAATCTATATCGATTGATATAAGTAAGTAAATCTCTTTCTAGTTTCTAGCCGTCAATTAGCTGCCTTAAAGATGAACGTAACGTCCTGTGCGCGTGCCTGGAATTTGGTTGTAGCTATAGAGCCATCCGGGAGACGGAAACACGCCTCCTTCATAGACTTTCCAACTATATTGACCTACTGTTGCCAATCGATTCCAGGGAAGCTGGAGCTGCTGTGAAGAAGGCTGTTGCGTTGTACCTTCAGGAGTACAACAACCTACTGGATCTGGATGATCAGTCAGTCTATCCTCCCCGGGGAGTGAAGAGAACTCCTGCTGCGCTGTTTTACCTGCAGTTGTACGCACTAGTGGATCTACATCTAGATCAACAGGAGGCTGTACAGACGGCTCAGACGAATGAGAGGCAGCCATTGAGAACCGTTGACACAATCCCGACAGCTCCAAAACCGTCATTTGAGCGTCGATTGGCAAGTCTAGAACCGGAAAAGAACCTTTCGATGTTGAACTTCTACACGCTCTAGAACTGGCAACATCCTCTGTGAGAGCTAGAGATTGTTGTAGATTAATATGCTTTGATGCATCTACTTCTCGGGCCTCAATTCGTTCATCTTTATCTCCATCTTCAGAAGCCCCCGGCCTTGATAAAGAACCCCTCGACCCAGGCGTAAGTGAGTCCACCTCTTGTGCTGGTACATCATCGTCTTGTTGTACTTGTTGTGACAAGCCTGTCTCTTCCATCAGTGGCACACGACCTTCTACTCCTTCTCTTCCTCCTCCACACGACGTCGCACTTGAGGACAGCTTGAGATTTCCAAAGATTTTTGTCAGGGGGCCGATGCCACATGATGGGTCATGCGCTCCACCACCGTAGGGCCCATGTTTAGAACTAAGAGAAATCCACCTTCAGCAGCATCTTGGGTCTCCTTTTCCCTTTAAAAACGGGAGGACCAAGATGCCTCTGAAAATGGGAGATACGAGGACCAAGATGGCAGTGAGGAAATAATTCTTGTAGCCTTAACATGTGCTGGATTTCCCTGTCTTGGTCCATGTGCTGGATTCATGAGCGGCGTACCAGAGACGCCTCGGATTCCACAAATCCAACCCTTCAAAAAAAGTATCCTCATTCTGTGGCAATAAAAACAAGTTTTTTGAAAAGACCACTCTGATATAAATTCTCTAGCTGTGGACAAATTTTCTACCCAATGATGTAGTACAAGAATATGCAGATGCAATGATCAATAAAGGTTAGGTTAGGTGTGGGCCTACCAGGAAAACTGGCAGACATAAATGGCTGCTGAAGAGCCAAAAACAAGTTTTTCAAAAGTAGACCACTTTATAAATTCTCTAGCTGTACAAGAATAAGCGGATGCAGAGGCAAGAACAAATGACTCCCTTTTCCACATTCACCTGGTATCGATCATAGTTTTTAAACTTGTTACTCAAAGCAAAAAATGTTTGTGGAGGAAACGCAGGAAGGACAGGCAGGAGGGGGTAAGGGAATCGTACATAGTGGATATTAGGGCTCAGACAAAAATGATACTTCGCAGACCGATGCCTGTAATCCAACATCTCCACACGACGCAAGGAGGCAGAGAGAACCCTACATTTTATTCAGACGCCGCAAGCAATTACAATTACAATTACAAGTTTTTCAGTGGGTTATGGCGGGCGGTATACTAAAAAATTAGTATGACCCACATATTTTCCAGGATGAAAGATCGACGCACCAGCAGCGGTGACAGAGGAATGGAAACCAAATGGAGTACAACTACAATCCTTTTCCTGCAGCATGGACATGGACTCGAAGCTCAGTCGCACGGACGCGGCGTGGACCACAGCGGTTCGCGAGATATGCAAGATAGAATCAATGATCCCCCGTAGTTTTACGTCATGAACATCAATGGAATTATGAAGGTGTGAAAACAGACCACGACAAAGGCCGTCGAGTAGAAGATATTATGCACTGTGCATTTTCCCGCCGTCACGGACTCAAAGGGTATTTGAAACGAAACAAAAAACACCCGAACCACCTGTACACCAACTAGCGCTACGTCAGACACGTGATTGCCCGAATACAAGATAACAACTCGTCCCACCTACGATATTTTTTATAGTACCTCTTTATCCTTCCATCTACTCGTCTTAGAAACTAATAGATCATGTGAAAGTACTGCGCCAATATATCATCGATTGCAAAGAACATTTAGTAGATCCAGCATGGCGACCAGGAGCAAATTGCCTATAATTATGTTAATGGCATTTTCGAAGAAATGGATTGTATAAAGAAATAGGAAGATGATACATCAAGTATCTTCTATGGGTAATATTCGTTCAACATCGGAAGTTCCATCAAGTCAAGAAGTTGAGGCATCTGTGCAACGGATCATTCAAGAGAACAAAGATAATGTGGCTTCACTACTTCATAAGTAATTTCAAATTCAATCAACATGCTTATCTATCTAATCTTCAATGATATTAATGTAAAAATTTTTTTAGAAACTACTACAACCGAGAGACTTGTCGGAAGTAAGTTCTTGGATGAGGCACCTAGCACAAATAAGACTTCTTAGTCTTACAATGAAAAGAAAACTATGCTGCAAAATTTTAGACTATAAAATGAGGATCTTCATGATACTCATCTTCACAACTGTCGTTTTTGCAGGAAAGATCCGCAGAGCTGCGGTTGCACCTGACGACACGACAAGCTGTGCCACCTCCATCAGTAAATCAGGAGCCGTACTACAACAAGAGCTTTACTACATTCGTACTCCCGTCGCATAGGAGCACCATCTATCCGCTACTAGATTCGTACCCCCGTCGCATAGGAGCACCATCTATCCGCTACTACATTCGTACTCCCGTCGCATAGGAGCACCATCTATCCGCTCCAGCACCTTCATCAAGTCAGTGGTGACACAACTCCAAGTGACTCTGGGGTTTAGGCAGAAGCAGAAGATATAGTGCTCTTACTGTCCCCCTCGTACAGTCTTCAGTCTGAAAAATCTCCTCTCCACGACATTGACTAGGGTCCTCGTAGCAGCCAGCAGCGTGCACAGGAGCAAGAAAAGCGGCAGAAAGATTCCGAAGAGTGCCCTTGTACTTCGCTTTCCCGGAGTGTGGACATGTCTAACGTCTGCTGGCTGTGCCGAGTCCCAACCGATCACCGCATGGCGGTTCACGTAGTAAACACGCAGTAAATTCTCGTCACTCTTTACCTCAGACTCAGCGTCCAGCTGTTTTAGAGGTTACTACTTACTACAACTGAGAACGGGACGAGGGGAGTGTAGTTGAGGAACAAGAAAGTCCCGTTTTCTCATCAAAACTAAGAGAAGACAGTGTTGGGGAACACGAACAAGATGGATTTTCTCAAGCCTTAATTGTTGCACACCTCTCAGCTGTACACTGGGCTTTCGAGGCGCTGGATTAAACTTCAGTCCCGACCCATTATGCTCCTTGATAAACTTGTCATCCTCCTCACTGCCTCGTTTGATGTTACCTAGGTCATAGAAGATAAAGATTACTATTATGGAGATGCGAACGTTTGATATACTTTCCACATGAAATATATTAAATGGAACTTCGACAGAGAAACGTGATCGTGATTAACAGCAGTCATGACTGTCGTGTAGCTGCTAGCTGCAGTAATCTGTACTAGGCATACTTCTTCCAGCGCCTCAAGTAGGATCGGAAGATTTACTAAGGGGGTCCATCCTACTTCCGTTCTCTAATATATTCTATTCTACTTCTTCCAGCACCTTAAATACTTATGTTAAATACTTCTTGTTCCAGCACCTCCCGCAGTACTCTTTTTCATGCAACAAATTTAAAGTTTTACCTGCTCCACTCCCACCTCTGAATCTGCGCACAAATTCCGGGAAGTCAGGACCGATGGCATGCCTGTTTTCGTCTTTCTCGAATTTGAGACCGGGAAATCGATTGGCATCCCCTTCTTCTCGATCGATTCTCGGAAACAACACGCATCGGCGGGTGCGATATTCACGCTTGGAGGTACGAGAGGAAAGGTCGTTTGTTTTAGAGGAGGCTGTAAGAACTAGCAAGCACGTGTTAATATGGAATGAAGATCATGCTTAATTTTACTTGTTTTTACTCTTGTTTCAACAACAACATAATTGATAAGATAGTTGCAAAAAACTAAAACAAATCACTGAAAATGCGATCCACACTTCTTCATAATATAATTTTGCGCTTCAGTCATTTTCTGGCCCAGTGCAACCCAGTGGCAGTGGAACGGACTCTGCTGCCCTTCGTCGGCTGTCAACAGCCAGGTTGCTTTGCAATACTCCTGACACATCCAGTTGAAATCACTGTCATTCAGGAGAGAAAGGCGGGTTGCAATAACAGGACGAGGTGTAGAAGCTGTAGAGCTAGATGAAGATGAAACTTCAACAGGAAGAGGTGTAGCTTTACATTTAATTTCCATGCCCAACTGATATCGAACGTCCGCAGTGTCCACTTTCACCAAGCTGAGGGTACACGATTCGTGCTTGTACAAGATTGCGAACATCTGCCTGAGCTCATCCAACGTAGAGCCCTTCAATGTCTTTTTGACAAAATGATGCATTTTTTCCTGATACTCGCCAATCCGATTTTCCACCATGATCAAGTTCGCCTTCATATCTTCAAGCAGACTGAAGTCCTCCGCTTTCTTCTTGGCACGATGAGCTGCAGCTGGATCAGCCTTGCCTGACGCGGCCTTCTCTGATTTCTTTCCTGATGTTGCGGGAGTCAACGGTGATCCCTCTGGACGAGACCCTGAAGGCGCTGGCGTCGTTGGCGACCCTGACGTCGCAGGTGACGCAGGAGCCGCTGGAGACGAATTTTCCGCGGCAGAGGATGAGGAACCCGCAACAAGAGCCGTGGTATTGTCCGTAGATGAACCTCGTCCCGGATTGATATTCATGTTGTCCGTAGAAGCAGACCTTGCTTGTTCGGGAGAATCTTTCTCTTCTTCACCGAGTCCAGTTAGTCCTAGACTTTTTTCGATGTAGGCTTCAAACCGTGGAGCCAGGAGGCGTTGAAGGAATTCGGGTGTCTGGAGCTTCTTTATCTTGGCCTCTGCGTCTCTCTTTATTTTAGCCTCTGCTTCTGTCTTTATTTTATCGGATTCCTCGGACGCAGCTTCACTGCTATCTTTAAGCGCCTCGAGTGCTTTCCTGAGTGCTTCACGGCTATCTTCACGGCTTTTTTGAAGAGCCTCTGCCGCTTTCCTGAGTCCTTGGTAGAGCCATGTAACGTATATGCTTCGTTCGCCGGCTCTATCAGCCACGCCCGCGTCGGAGTGCGCGAATATTAGAACTGTCGGCAATTCATCTTTCAAGTGCATCCTTGAAAAGTATGGGGGAGTTGTATTCCCTTAGGATAAGTACTCCTCCATACGTATAATATTCAAGAATTATCCTGCATTAGGTACAACAGCCTTAAGTAGAACAGTGCTGCAGCCAAGCGCTTAATCAAGGCTGGCGACATCCCAAACGTTGCCGTCAGAAGAAGCTGCTGCAGATCAGGCTCCGCTTGAATAAGGTCACGAAGTCCAAGAACTGAAGGATGAAAAATGCGGCGCTGCTGGGTAGGTGCAAGCTGTCCAAGAACTGAAGGATGAGAAATGTAAGCGCTGAGACATTCCTCAAGCCACTTGTAGCCGTCTCCAGCGCTAGAAAGGGGCAGGGACACGCGCCACGAGAGCCTTTGGATGAGTGCGCCGTTGTATTCTTCAGTTCTTTCAGCAACTTTTTGGAAGCTGAAATGCCCTGGCTTCAAACTGTAATAGTATTTGCTGCTGGAGGAGGTGAGGCCATCTTCGTCTTTCTTTCCTTCATCAGGATCTTCGTCTTCTTCCTTTAATATGGATGCAGCACCTCTGATCGCCCCAAAGCTGAACGAAGGCATGCTGTCGTATGTCGCATCTAAATACTGTAAGCGGTCCTTTGCGCTTGACCACAATATTTTACTCTGCTCCTGAGCTTGAGCTTGTTGAGGGGGTCCTTGTGGTTGTACGACTACTCCTCGCCCTGCATTAATAGCTTGAGCTTGTTGAGGCGCTTGTGGTTGTACGACTACTCGCCCTGCATTAGCATTAGTATCAGAAGAACTAGAAGAACCCTTCATCAGAGTCTCAGCAACCTCGTTAAAAGCTTTCGTGCGTTCGACTTCTCTTTGCCCTGGCTCATAGAACCATACGGCAGCGCCATAGATCTCGGCATCGCTGGGTTTGTCCGGTTGTCGTAACAAGGATTAAAGCCAGGAATCAATCTGAATCTGTAGCCCGAGGAGTGATCTGAATCATTCACAACCCACGAACAGGAAGATCATCTTTCTAACATATCAGCTACGCCAGATAGTGAAGAAAGTGATCAGCGGAGTTAGGTTAGGTTGTGGATCCTGCACATCGAGCACCCTCGGGACCTACTCGACTCCGAAGAGTGACGAATGTACGTACTATAGCCTTAATGTAACCACTTCAGCGCGCTGTCAAGAGCCGGATATGTGCCGTGCATAATCGTATAGCTCGTGCGCTGATCGCAGTTCGCAGGCATAGTACAGACGAAGTAGTTGTTTGCCGTCAGAAGCGGAAGGAGGAGGCCAGGTAAGAAAAACCAAATTAGAAGAGTTCCCAATCGATCTTGAGATTAATCCTTGACGACCCCTTGTTTTCCTCTTGAAGAAAACCCCTGTAAAAAACAAGATGTCCCTGCTCAACAAGATGATGGAGTAGCTACTTTAGGGGAACAAGACCTTAACAACAGCAAAATCAAGTACACGTCCTTCCGCCGAAGCAGCGACTCGAGGACACCAGCACGATATTTGCTCCCCGAGTTCAGATACAGCAAAGAAAAGCCCAACAGGCCAAAGGCAGTCGTTGTAAAAAGGCCACTGAGGATGGAGGAGGACGATTGTTCGGTGGACGTAGCATTGCCTTCGCAAAGATACCCTTTAGCGTTGTTTGGGATACTGAGCCACTCTTTGGCACCAATTTCCGGAACCGTATTAGAGCGCAAAACTACTAGCATTTCATATTCTCAGTCATTTCTTCAGGAGCGACGAGCCTACTTCTTCAGAATCCTAAGAAGGAAACTGAAGAAAAGGGTTTTCTTCAAAAGTCTATTGCCTGACAAATACACTTGGAGATACAGGAAAAGGAAATGAATTGCCTGTGTAAGGAAACCGAAGAAAAGGAAAAAGGCCGTTGGAAAAGAAAATGAATTTCCCGTATAATAAGGAAATGCATATTTATTATTTATTACTCTATAATATATGTTTCAAGTTGTAAACCCGAGTGGTAAGTGATCTAGTGATCTACTTGTCCATCACGTTGACCTTCAGAGGAAGTTCCGGATAGTTCGCAGACGTCCTGTGTTGACTTTTTTATTACTCTATAATGAAAATGAATGGAGTCTTAACTGTAGAAGCCAATTGCAAGAAACCCACAGGGAGCAAAAATCCGAGCATCAGCAGCGGAGTAATCACTCCAAGGAGCCACACGCGGATAGGAGCCAGAGGCGACAAATTCGGCACATCCGGGAAGAGCTCTCTCTGATTCATCTCACGTTGCTGCTGTTCCTTTTGAAGACGTCGTTTCTCGAGAGCTGTCTCTTCTTTGGCTCTGCGAATCTCCCGTGGATTGGATTCAAGATCGTCCTCGTCGTCAACTAGGAGAGGCACCATTTCCGATCTTCCAAGAACCTCCTTTCCAATCTTGAAGCCACGGGCGGCACTCGTGCTCGTCAAAGTCATTGATGTAGTTCTTTCAACAAAACTACCATTCATGTTCATCTCTATTTTAGTACTCGTTTGATCATTTGATGGCGGTCTCCCATTCGACAGCAAATAGACCGCTAATGGAACGGCAATCAAATCCAAGGATGTCCCCATGGCAGAATTCAACCAGGAATAGTTTACTCGTAGCACGTCTCTCGTGACGTTGAACGCGATACCGTAGAGCAGCGTCCATTGATAGATGGCAAGAGCATTTTCAGCCGCAACTCGACCTTCCTTCGCAACCTCCACACAGGCACGAATACTACCGCTTGTGGCTGCATAGGGAGCAAGGAACGTGATAACGCTGTCTTCGTCTGGATCTTGCTCTCGAGGGTGTTGACCTTGTTGACCTTCTTCTTGTTTGCCTTGATCATTATTTTTCTTACTCTTCTTCGTGTCGTGGTCCTTGCTGGAACCACCACCCGAGTGATTCATCAATGCGACCCCCATGTCTGAAGCCCGCAGCGCAGCCGCATCATTTCCGCCATCGCCACACATCCCCACTTTAACCTTGATGTCACCCTGAAGATGTTGCCAATACTGAATGACATCGCTCTTTCCACCTGGGGTCATCGAGCCGAAGGCGACTACTGACGACAGCATCTTTGACAACGATGGAAGTTCAGATACTGATAGGAGGAAAGAAGTACTCGATCCACCGGGACCCCCATTTGGTCCATGATGTGTGGGCGTCGTACCCACAACGAGGGAAATTCCAGAACTATCTGTAGAAGTAGCTGAAGACGACGGAGTAGAGACAACGCTTGAGCGAGTGGAGGAGCTTCCGTTAGTGGAAGTCTTATCCGATGATGCGTCTTGTTCATCAGCTGCTTCATCAGTCTTATCCGATGATGCGCCTTGTTCATCAGCTGCTTCAACCTTATCCGCATTGGTTCGTGCAGGGATACCGCTAACAACAACACGAAGACCCTCCTTTGTTGAACTTGTTGCTGTAGAAGTATTCGTATTCCCACCAGCACCATTTCTACGCTCAGCATTTTCACCAGCTTTAGACGGAGTATCCGAATCGTGTTCGTGCGCAGCCAGTGTGTAAAACGCGTCTTGCGTCAGGAGGTATCGCGCACTCGGACCCGGATTCCTCCATGAGGACGACGCGTGACACGACTGAGTCTTAATCGCCTGCAACCGCATCAGTATCTCCTCCCGCGACAAGAATCTCGTAGCTTCAATAAGCTCATAGTCGTTCGTACCGGATTTTTTCACCAAAGAAAAGGGCGTCACATTGACAAAAACAGTGTCGAACGACCCTCCACAGGCTGCGTCTCTCGTACTAGTCGTGCTCGGTTGTTTACCTCCATCACTAGAATTTGCCACATCAATTGCCAAAACATCAAGTTGATGTTGTTTATCGCAGAAGGTGTCGGCATCTTGGATCATTAGTTGGTCCACCTGGGTGCTTAGGTCTTGCTTAGAGGCAGACACAGCATCCACAGAGGGAGAAGTAGACGTAGACTCACCATCAAAGAAGCCACATCGTGCCGCGACACTGCCAGCAGCGTAAATGTTATCACCCGTGATAATCTGAGGCAAAATAGACGCATCCTGAAACTGTCGGATGACACAAGCAGAGTCCGACTTTACTGCATTTGCGAACAGGAACAATCCTAGAAATCGCATATCTTTTTCCACATCTGATCGGCGAAGCATCACTTCTTCTGTGGAGTCGGAACTAGCTTTTCCTGCAGAGAACAAGTCTCCTCCAACAACCTGGCGAACAAAGGCACTGTCGACTTCACGCATGGCAACAGCCAAAGTATAAAACCCTTGACGGGCGTATTGAGCGGCTTCGCGAGAATCAACCTCAGACATCGTACCCATACTCGCTAAACGTTTGGGAGAACCCTTGCTGAGGAGGAAGAACCTGGACGTTGACGCGCTCTGCGGCTCTGCAGCTTCCTCAGCATTTGAAGGTTCATCTTGATCACCATCAACATGTTGATACCGCATCTTGATCTGCAACTTCATCGAACGGGTAAGGTTTCTCGTGCGTGGATAAATTCCTGAACGTCTGATAGACTTTGACTTTTTTCCACCACCGGCACAATCACCACTGTTGTCCAGACAAACTTCTACCAAAACAGATTGTAATTGCAAATCCTGATCGAATTCCCATTGGTGCAAAGTTTTTGCGAGAACTCGTCCCGTCGTGGCATCACAAGTCTTGATCACACCGTTCGTCCTCGCAGCACTTGTTTTCTTGTCGTCGTGCTCGTTCACAACTACAGAAACTACACCCAATTTCTCAAAAGCAATCCGAAGTAATTCGCAGTCGACTGCGTTGCCCAGGAATACGGGTTTCTTTGACGTCGACGTTGCAGGTACTACATCATCAAGGTCTACTAGAGAAGTGCCGTTTTGGTTTTTAATACAGCTAGTCGCGGTCTCCTCCACAACCGTAGCCGTATTACACACGCAAGCAGCTAATTGCAGCAAGAAATAATCCATGTCATTTTTCTCCTCACTGCGATGAGCAGGAGAACCCTTGTTGCCTTTGTTCTTTCTGGAACAATCTGCATTCAACATGAGTCGTCCACTTTCTTCTTGTTGAAGGCTTTCAAGCTGCTGCAGTAGCGAGACGACTTGCTTATCATCACGAGGACGATTTTGTTCCTGAAGCTTGTAGTTGCTCCTCGTCTGGGAGTGTTGAGAGAGATTCTTCACTTGTAAAACACCTCCAGCTCCAGATGAGTTATTAACCTGATCCTGACCATGATTTCGACAACTGCCGAAATTTTCACGCCCATATATCTCCTCAATAGGGCAAACACTCTCAGCATGACCGGAACTCTCAGCATCGGATTGTAGCTCATCATGATCATCGTCTTCACCAGAAAGACTCTGGTGAAGAAGAAACTTTACGTGTTGTCCAGCATTTCTTCCACAAGCTCGTCCAGAAGCTCCACCTCCACCACCAGCAACTGAAAATTTATGAAATTTCAAACTCTCTTCAGTGAGGGTACCGGTTTTATCGAAACACATCACTCGAATTTGACCGGCATCCATCAACTCTGCAGGGATCATAGTTCGAATCTGATACTCACCCTCATGCAAACGACGAGCGGCTTTGCGAGAAGCGTACGTTGCGCCTGAAAGGCCGACAGGATTGCAGAGGCGGGCTAGGGTCACCTGAATCAGCACCAATCCCAAAGCGTCAAACTTGGCTCCTTTGAGAATACCTGGCAGCGTGCTCATGATAATCGCCAGAATGAGCATCACAACCATCACGATCTCCCGGCTTTTATCCATCGTGCTGCGCTGAAGTTCACTCTTCCTGTGCAGCAACATGTCACGAAGAAGCGCACCACGAAGACTATGGGCTTCGGTTCGGAGCACAAGGGCGGCGATAAGCGGCGACTCAGCATTAGACGAACTTTCGTCCTGCGTCAACTTCCCACCTCCATTCTCACCACAGTCTACAATGCTGCTCCCCGCAAAGAGTATCAAACGCTTGACCTTGGAGGAGCACTTGCCACCCGACGTGCCATGCCCAAGCATTGTGGCTACGTCTTCTTCGCTGCGGGGACAGAACTTGCGAACAGGAACGTTTTCACCGGTCAAAGAGGCTTCGTTACAGGTGACGCTTTTTGTTGTGAAGGTTCTTGTTGCAGAAGTTGTACATGCAGCAGAAGTAGCTGCTGTAGTAGGGTCAGGAATTGAAGCACCTGTGGGGAGGACCATATCCATAGCTCCTGTAGAGTTAGCTCCTGTAGGGACCATAGCTGTAGATGAGTCTGAATCTTCCGCAGACACCAACACCAGATCAGCCGGAAGCCCCCTTCGCAAGGCTGATTTACTCAAATAAACCACATCTCCCGGTACCAGCTGCGACGACTCTAGGATTTCTCCGTCTTTGGTTTGGAAGTCCAGAGGACCTCCACCTGCTTTGTTCGAAGAACCGCCCTTGTTCGAACCTCTTGTTTTGGACGTCGCAGTTCCCAGAACGGCATCTTTCAATTCTTAGAACTTGCCAGATAAATTCATCTTGAAAGTCATCTTTGGCACATTTTTTCAGACCCCTTGAAAAGACCTTGTCAAAGGTACTTACGCCTTTTAAGTGATGAAATACGGGAAGCCTTAAAATTCTCCTTGATTCTTTGCGTCATCCCAGGCAGCCCACAGGTTTAGGCTGATCAGCAGAAAAAGCCAGACTGGCAGGTACTGAACCTGCGAACTGGTCACGAAGAGACCGGACATATGGAGACTTAGCAAGACACTGCGATCCCTGAACTTGTTGCAGAAGAATTGCCAAAAATTTTGGAATTCTGCATGAAGACGGTTTTGCCCAAAGAATTGGAGTTTAGCTTCTCGCTCATCTTCTTTGCCATCTTTCTTGGAAGAACCAGCTTGGTAGTTACACAATCGGTCCACGAAATTAGCAACGACGCCACGATCGGATGAACCTTTGAGTTTCATCCCCTGCTCCGCCCTAAGGTCGTCCATCATCGCTTCCTGAGGTCGCACGAATTTCCCATGTCGAGGCATAAAGCGGAAAAACGAGCACAAAGATACCACTTCACGGCAACCAGTCGCTTTTTGCGTCTTCACTTCGACGATTTCCAAGGCGGATGCTGCAGAGCAGGATGTAGTCTTCTTAGAAGTCTTCTTAGTTTTATTATCCCCAAGAACATTGCTTTTCCCCTTGCAAAAAAACGGCTGCGGAAACAAAGCCTTCTGCAAACGACGTGCGAGGCGTAATTCTTGTTTACGAAGAGGATCTTCTAGTGCATCAGCTTCAGCATCAACTTCTTTTCGTGCATCACCGTCAATCTCCTCATCTGCCTCGTCCTCCTCTTCCGGCGCCAAAGCGACTTCAAAGGTGATCACATGGGAGCAGTTGCCCAAGTGTGTCTCCGCGTCACGTCGTAAACACAACTCGCGTTTTAGATACTTGCCCAAGGTGCTCGAATAGAAAAGCGCAGCAGCCCAGCCTCCACAATGGACCATGAAACAGACGAAAAACCAGTGAGCCGGAAAGCCAAACCCAAATCCTTCTCGACAGGCTTCTCTGGGAAAGAAGAGTGTGCCAAAGTCCTTGTCGTATATGTCTTGATCTAAGGCCAGTACCGACTGAGGGCAAATGTTCAGACCCAAAAACTGAGTCGTATAGAACAGATAGAACTTGAATTAGCGCTTACACTAATCCATCTCGATGTCTTTTCTACTTACGACCGCTTTCCACTTGAAAACGTCTGCAAGAAGATGCTTCCGAGGATGGATTGGAGGCAGCCAACAAGCCATAATTGAAATTCCAGTTGAGCGGTTTGGACACATCAGGCATGAAAAACGCAAATGGGCCGTTTGCTAGACCGCCTTCTCCTTCGTTGAGCCACAAACCGGAGGCCAGACTCGTAAAGAGCACGGACAAGGAGGAATTAGAGCACGGATAAGGAGGAATTGCATCCACCTTCCTGTCTGTCTCTTACAACTAGGTAGAAGAGGATGACGAGCAGGCAACTAATTACCTCCTGTTCTTGAGAAAATCATCATCTTCATGCTCAAAAAGTTCCAGCATACGTCGACTTCGAGATCGAGTTGGAATGACTGAGGGCAATACTTATTGAGACAGAATGTCAACAAACTGAGAATGTCCATGTAGAAACTCGCCTTCTCTAGTGCCTTCTTTTGGAAGCCTTAATCAAATGCAGCACGAACAGCGTGATCAGACAGTAGAGCGCGCATCCCAAGAAGCTTCGACGATACGCAACGTGAGCATACACTTTCTGTTGAAATTTCTTCGAAATTTTTTCCTGATTCAGTTTCATCCTGATTTCATGATTCAAGACCACCACCTCTTTGTCCTTCTTGGCCGCTGCCACGACTGCGTGTGCGTGTTTAGTACCATTTCCATGTTGGCATGATCCATCTAAGAGATAAGCTCCTGCAACACTAAAACAGGGTTTTCCAGGAGCCTTCTCAGAAGGCGTCGCAGATTCGTCTTTCTGCTCCTTTCCGACTTTGTCCTCGTTGCTATTAACCTTTTCATTTAGAGCTCACCCTAAGTAATCCTTCTCGAAGTCCATCCTGTTGAGACCGTTATCCCCTTGCAAACGTTTCTGAGAGAGATGCTTCCGAAGATGGATCATGATAAGGGTGAGCCATAACTTTTGATGATTCGAAAGACACTTGAGATTTGCTTCTTGCCACTTCTTCAACCCCAGAAAGAGGATGACCGCCAAGGTCAACACGACTGAACCGCAGGTATGGATGAGAAAAAAGGGGGACTCTAGGGTCATATTACCCCAAAACTTTGGCGAACCACTGCCCATTTTGTCGATGTCGTGCTCCCTGCTCGTTGGCAGCTAGTAGAGCTGAGCTAGTAGAGCTTTATTAAGTAGTTGCTGGCTGTTGCCTTGGAGATTGGGATTACTTAGACAAGAAAGTTGCTGCAGATTTTTTTGCAAGAATAAATGCAGCTAGAAGACGGAAGCAATTTAATGCAAGAAACGCGTACTCAACTAGTTGTTACCAGAAGGTAAAAGTATCTTAGAAGAGTGCTAACGGATTAAGTATTTGATATTCTTACCCTGCTCGTTGGAATTATAGGCGTTGCCGCGTTGGATTTATTCACGAAGGAAGCTACTTCGAAAGAAGGATGAGCAGTAATGATATCAAACTCTAGTCAGGACCGGGACTGCTTCTTCTTCCGCTGCTGCTGGGACGGCTTCTATCGATCATAAGAAAGGCCGAATTATGATACTACGCTTCTCAAAGATGAAATTCAGTTACACTTACATCCATCAGGAGGCAATATTTCTTTATTGCTCATCGCAAATCAGTATTGAATACAACAACCAAAGACGCAAACGCACGCTGCACCGGGGGTATCTATAGTAATGAACGCTACAACACTAGCTTCTGCTGCCGAAGAGAAGTGAGTGATCTGTTGATTTATCCAATCTTTCGCTGCCCTGCTTTCCGACCACATGAAATTCCATCCAATTCAATTCAATGATTTTTTTTTTTGTAGTACGAGCGAGTTCCGATAAATCAAAACCTACCTGCGTATTTTCCGCGTAAGATGCTTTTTGGAAAATCAACACTGGACCACGTGTCTGCACGTCTCGAGGTCCTACACGTAACGAGGTCTTCACATCTCAATCCATCAACAATCAAAGAGAAACGAAGGTTAGAATGATGTTGTTGAGGAACTAGAAGATGTCCAGCACANCCACGTGTCTGCACGTCTCGAGGTCCTACACGTAACGAGGTCTTCACATCTCAATCCATCAACAATCAAAGAGAAACGAAGGTTAGAATGATGTTGTTGAGGAACTAGAAGATGTCCAGCACACCACGACAGAAACGTGATGATGATGAAGGAAACTAGAAGTGCGCACCCCTACCATCGAAGACTCATACCGCCAGAAGAAAAAGATATATTTTGAAACATCAAGTAACGTCTTCTATTCAGCTAATTCAGGCGTTTCAACTATTCTGTACCTTCTTTTTGAAGTGACCACTTCTACCACTCAGAATCTTCAACATATTTTCCTTTTAGTTTGTTTACCACTTCTAAATTTTCATCGAGACTAATATCGAAATGGACGAAGCAAAGTGAACTCCATATACGATCTTTGAGATCTACAGGTCGTACCTAAACCCTATTAGTTCTAAGAAAACAATCCCTCATCTGTTTCAAACGGTTGATGAAAACAGCGTGGATGAACCCTATGTCAAACGGTTGATGTCATAGGCGATATCCCTCACTATACATTACGTATGACTATGGTGTTAATAAAAGAATCACTATAAGTACTCCTATAATTCGTACTCGGGACTGTAAAAAGATTATGAATGTAGTTGAGGATAACTACAGCAACTGACCCTATTTGTAGTACAAGTAGAGACTTGAAATCTATACTGAATTGTTAGCTCCGGCACAAAGACAAACCAGACACAAGAAGCCATAACAAGATGTTGATGCGTTTCATCAAAAATGAGGTTAAATCTATTATTTTCTTGTTGAGTCCTACTACAACCACGCGATCACACTAGGAATACTGTGTGCGTGTAGTAGTCTAAGTAGGTACAGCGTGATGCCTGATCAGTCGCATACACATCAGGCACTGGAGCGACTCAGGTAGCCACTCAGCCACTGTCCATCTGATCAGTCGCATACACAGAGCCACTGTCCATCTGATCAGTCGCATAGTACACAGAGCCACTGTCCATCACATCAGGTGGTACTGAAGCGACTCAGGCACTACTACTACCACGCGATCCTCGACACCCCTAATACCGAATCGAATTGTAAAGTCGTCATCTTAATTTCATATTTAAATCTTTCACGAGTATCTTTCTATTAAAAGCAGAAGGTCGAAACAGGAGCGAGGAAGAAAAGCTCAAGAGTGCATTTATCTAATCAGATTCTTAATAGCACAGTCTGCGTTCATGTAGTCTATGATGATGATTTTATGAGATTCTGTGTTTACCTGAAGGTAATAGTTAGAGTTTCATTTTCCCGACTATGATTATGTTACTTCTTCTAGACCTACTTTTATGTTTGTCAGTATTATGTCTCTTTGTTGAGTCTGAGTCTGTGTCTGTGTTATATAAGTTAGCCGTCATATTGACTGTGTTGCTCATCCACCTAGACTTAAAAATCGTAAGGTTAAGTATTCAATTTCTTTGCTCATCGTCTTCACCGTCTAGATTAAAAATCTTTCTCTATGATCCTGCATTAGTATAATCTGCAATTATCTGCTTGCGCTGTTATAGTACGCATACCAGCATCTGCGCTGTTATACGCGGCATACCATCCCATGATCTCCTTCAACAGCCGCGTATCATCATCATGGCCTACTATTCACCATCCGCCCAACTTCTTCATGATCCGCGTATCATCATCATGGCCTACTATTCCTCTGTTGTCCAGCAAGAAACGGACAGAGAGAAATGTCGCCTGCCTTGCCGGTCCTTTCACATTTGTCTTGTCTTCGAGTGTGCGGCACCGCGCGCATATGCGCAAATTCAGCTTCTCTGCGACGATTCACGAGAAGTAGCTTGTTAGAAGCTGAATAACTGTTTTGATCTACTTGAGGTAACTTAGTAGACTTTAGCAGACTCAGGAAAGTTAAGCTGAATAATTCAAAGTCGGAGTGAGAGTGTTGATGTCGGGTAAGTGCTAGACCTCACATCATTGAAGATCTACATTCTTATACACGACATTGTAGAACAACTTCTCACATTGAAGATATTATAGAGTGAAGAAGATGTGCATAGTCGTGAGTCCGCTTACTATTTTACCGATAAGAAGCCAGCCTGGTGAAGTAAAACTGATCTATCAACAACGTGTTTAAAAAGCATAAATTCATTGCTATCCACAGCATCGTTAGCTTTGGTCGTGAACAAACGTCCTGCTACTGTACTCATCGCACCGGTGAATCCGTGGTACAAATGATGTCCAAGAAACTTCCCTCCAGGAGTTGTTGAACTTGGACTGTCATTTTTCACGCTAGAGGCTCCGTCCTCATTGTTCACCACGTTGCTGTGAGTCTGTTGAGTTTTATCTTCTCCTTCTTTGGCTTTCTCTTCATCGACCACATCTCCTCGCTGCTGAAAAACTCGTCTTGCTGCACCAAACTGCTGCAATTTCAAATCAGTGTTGGCATTGATGATGGCCAATCCCTGGTCGCTAAATCCTTTTGTCATGTCCTGCAGGCGTTGCGACAGTTTCCTCACCTCGGAGGCTAGCAATTTGCCAACTAGTCGTTCGTAGCCATCTAGTTGCAGTCTAGCACTAGAACTAGTAGCAGACGTTGACCTACGCTGTGTCGAGGTCGAGCGAAAAAAAGACAAGAAGCCAATAGCAGCATCAAATTCCGAAGTAGAATCCGCTTGAGCTTGACTTTGGTCTCCCTCTCTGAGGATATTCATCAACTTCGACAGAAATCTCTCCGACTCTTTGTCCGACGAAACGTCAAAACCCAGGCCCAGACCAGTCCTACTACCGTTTACCCAGAAATGAAAATCGTGCCGATGTTCGTCATACTGCTGCACCCATCTCTTTCTCTGCGCCAATACCTCATAAAGCGCCTGCTTCACTTCGCGGACCAAGGTCGTTGTTGCGTCCAACTCATTGTGAAACAATTCCTGAGCGCAAGGGTTTTCTTTCCCCATTTCATAGTTCAACCAGAGGATCGTTTCTCCGTATTTCTCTACCACGGCTGTGAGATGCTTCTTCTGCTTTTGGAGGAGGACGTCGACATCATCGTGAGATTGTTGTTCAACAAGAATGTCAGCCACTTGATCCGGTACGACTGAGGTTAGAAACTTGACCACTTGATCACTTTGTCCTGACCACAACACTTTTCGACGCTGACGTTGAAACGCTACCTGATTTTCCCACTTTGTCAAGGCAAGCAAAGCTTTTGCATACTTCTCATACTTGTCCACTGTGTCGAGCAAATGCTCTTTGTATTTCTGTCCGGCTTCGGTGTCACGCGGAGGCTGACTAGAATTAAAGCGCAGCATTCAATGGTCACTGATGCTGAACGGAAGAGACCCCCTTCTTTCCCTTCGTTTCCCCCTGTTGTCTCAAGGGGTCGCCTCTTCGATCTCAGTGACCAACCCCAATGACCATTGAAAGCTGAGCCTTAATAGAAGAAGATAGTTGCTGCTCCGTAGATTCGCCCAAAATAATCGACTTCTCCGATCTACTATCTAGTTCACCAATTGCAAGAGGGGCAAGCGTCCCAGCGACGAAGGGGTCTAGCATAGCATGCTTCTCCCACAAAAGCATTTCACCGGGGGAAGAGAGACAAGCTGCGACAGCCTGATGTTGTCGTGGGGAGTCTAATTTTACTAAGTAGTTGTGCGGAGATTTGGAATTCTTGTTGAATTGTGTTTGTGATTCAGTTCGTTGTGTCGAGAATAACTTGAAATTGTTGAATTGTGTTTGTGATCAGGATGAAAAATAGGTGGATAATGGTCATGTGATGTAGAACTAGAAGTAGATGTCTGTGTTTAGCGGATTCCAAGGTTGATGAAAATGAGATGAAAAGCAAGGTGTCCTCCTACACCTTGGGACTCGTCCTACGCCGAGTACTCAATAAACTAACCAAGTTGTACTATGCTAATTACTT